GGGGGGAGGGGAAGTGAAATTATGATTGCCAAGAAATGGATGACTTTGTTATTTTACCAGTGTCCTTACACAATGAATTAACTGTAACAAAAAGTTATCTACATGTAGTTACTGCAATGCTAACCAGACATGAGCATTTCATAACTTTATCAACATATTTTTGCACAAAGTCAATACATCCTTACCTTAACAATGGGAGTAATAAATTGTTCTACAAATCCTAACTTYAAAAGACCAGGCCAGTTACTGTGAATAAAATTGATGACAAGGCCTTTGATGTGAGAACCATCTTGATCTTGATCAGTCATGATCATCATGTGGCCATAACGRAGACTCTTTAAATCATCTTCCGTGTTGTACTTCTTGTTGTACTGCAGGCCGATAATCTTGATAATGTTGTTGATCTCAGCATTTTCAAGGATCTGTGAACAAAGGRTGATATCAGAATGTTTTCAAGGCAAGCTCCTGGAGCTTTAGGATATTTCTAAGGTTCCAAATTGAGTCTTTGATACTAAAACAGGAGCAATAGCTTGTACTTGAGTAAAACGAGGTAATGTTCTAACATGACTTGTCAAATCATTCATAATAATTAATAAGGTAAACTCAATTAAAACTCATTGCTGTGACCCCATCTTTATACGAGCAAGATATTTGTCTTGATTCACAGATGGCTTTAACATCAATTTTCTCTTCAAAATGACATTTTATCTTGAAGTTTTCTGCATGCAAAATGTTTACTTATAGCTTATAATTGAATTTTATAAGCAATATTAAATATTCACATCCGACCCTATGGGAATTAATACAGCTTGCTTGCAGTTTGGAGTTTTAAATAGCCATAAATGTCTCCCAATCATATTTTATATTATTTACATGTAATTTAATATTTTTTATTGTTAAAAATAGACAGCAGTATAGAGTGAGCACAAATTGTTTATAATTATTTGTACCTGTTTATGTGCTGCATCTCTCACATTCAGCAGCTTTCCCCTCAAMGGAAAGACACCATATAAATCTCTTCCCACGATACTCAGTCCGCTAATGGCTAAGGTTTTGGCTGAGTCTCCTTCAGTCAAGATTAGAGTGCACTGTTTGGACCTCTTGCCACCAGCATCGTTAGCATCGTCAAGCTTTGGTATCCCTTTGATCTTGTTCTGCTTTTGGCTGCTGCACTTCTTGTTTAGCTGTGCCTAATTATAAAAATGCTAATTGATTTAATTTGCATAATTCCAGATTCCTACTTTTGATTTGATTGGAATAATTCCAATTCTTTTTAACAAAAGTAATATAATTCCTATTATAATCACAATATTTGATAATTACAGTGTATAAGCGACCATCAACATATCATATTCTTCCTATAATACTAACTCCAATATTTATATCACTGAAGTCTATACATGTACATAACATTGCTCATTTGGACACAGTTATTTAATATTCTATGGTAAAAAGTTTGGAGGATTTGAAACTGTTTCAAGACCTTTTGCACAAGCTCAGACAAAGTGTAGGACTTGAGGTCCTCTTCCATCTCAAATTTCAGCCTTGCAACATTCATGAAAAAAACTCTGTGTTATTTATTGATAGAGTACCTTTTCCTTGAATCTCATCCAGTTGAGAACATTCTCCATAACTCCACAAGACTGAACCTAAAGTGCAAAAAAAAATATACAACCTACAGTAAATTGTTTTCCAATAGAACAAAAAATAGCAATTTTACAAGTGCATAATTGCTGACTTTTCCAAACTCAATATTCTTAGTTTTTTTAAATGTTAAGGCTCTTACTAGCAGAGTAAATCGAACAAGAGTTTGTCAGGGACTGATTGCATTAAATAGTTAATAGCAGATAAATATTTATTGATACATCTACATATTCAAATAAAACCTACAACCAGACGCAGTTGTACTATTCATTATTTCAGGTTCACAAGCATGTCCAATRTTTCAGGACCAAGAGACTCCCCAAATAATGATTACAAAAAATATATATATGTAGCTCCAACTTACTGCTTTTAAGAACTTGTCAGACAGTTCACACTTTGATCCAAAATCCTTTGCTCTCAGAGTCATGTTYTCTTTGGTTTGTGAGTCAAAGCTGGGATTTTCGATCAAGCAATTTACAAATACCCATAAATGGTTCTTGATTTGGAAAGGTTTGATAGCAATCCCACCCTTATTCTTTCTCTTGATAGCTGCCATCATCTTGTCAACAATTTGTTCAGTCACATAGTTCACATGGGTTCCTCCCTGGACAAWAAAAAACATCATTTTAGTCAATTTATTGTTGGTAGTACCCATCACATCTAGGTATGGATGAAACATGAAAGTTTAGTTTATTGGATACATTACTCTCTCCCTTGCCCAAAGGAATACCAAAGTGTTWCATTATCTTTTTGAATAAGCGTAAACTGGGGATATCGGTCCCAAACCATTTGCAATCATATTTTTTACTACAGTAACATACACAAAATATTCTACAGTAATAGAATTTGCAAAACATTTCGCAAACAAGTTACATGTGATTCCAGGYGTTACTGTATCCCATATTTGCTTGRATRAACACAAAGCAATGGCTTCAGTTCAAGGCTGRAGTTTTCAACAAAATATAAAACTCCAGTCTYCACTTGAAACCATTGTTTTGTGATCGTCCAAGCAAGTGTAGGATAAGTCTGTTGAAACCTTTGGATATAGTTTTAAGATTTTCTCACTTTKCAAAAAGAAACATATGTGTATGATTGTGTTGGTTCTCAGTCCTGAATTTCAAAGCAAACTTTACATAAATGTATGAACCTTTATTTATTTTACAACTAGAAAAAGAGGCAAAATATAATATAACTCTAAATAAGCTACTATTGCAGTATGAGTTACCTTAGTAGTTGCAATACTGTTTACAAAACTGGAGTGCTGGAAGCCTTTCTCACTAACTGTTACACAGACTTCCCAACGGTTATTCACCACTTCATGAACAACCTTGGTTTTAATATCTTTAGTTTCAGAGTTTTGTTCATCCTCTTCTTTCTGATCCTTATCAATCCCTTTCAAGCAAAGCTCAACATAATCCTTGAATGTCCTCACCTGGTAAAAGGATTGATTCATAAATTGGTTTACAATAACATTTTTTTAAATAAGGTTACTAATAATGCTTTATTTAATTATTTCAAAGCTTTGTTTTGAAATTTAAAAATGGTATCTTTGACATTTAGGCTGACATTAATTTATGGCCATTAGAAATGGATCTAATGTTGGTGACTTTTTTGGTAGTAATGAACTATCAACATGTCTTAGTATTTGTACTCTGTAAAATAGTCCATTCTAGCTCTTACCTTCAGCTTTTGGCCATTGAGAAAAACTGTTACTCCTCTCGCACATGCTGCAATGTCATAGGCTCGTCTTGTTAATAATGCCACTGTATCTCTGTCCAATGATTCCATTTTAAACTTAGCAAGATCTGGGCTGAATGTGATGCAGGTGAAATCTTTACTGCTAGAAAAGTCTTTAATAACTGGCTCGCCTGCCTTCCCCATGTTGTTATGCCACACCTAAGGATACAATAAGGAACAGCACATCAATAAACTAATTCTTATTATAATGTCTAATGGTACAAATATACAATATACATGTATATAACTCATTATGTTGCAGCTTTAACATCAAGATTAGATAATAATGTGTAATGAGCCAATCAAACTGCACGATGCTAGGATATGTACTGTTTTAGCAGGGCTATATCTTCTATCATGCTTTGTATCTAGAACAAAATGACTTTGCAGCACTTTACCTGTAAGTAACAACTTAATTACCTGTTTGAATCTTTGCTTCGACTCTGAACAAGCAGTCTCAACAGAAAACTTGGTACTAAATATATTACACAACTTGGCACCATAACCATTACGTCCCCCTGTGACTTTCTTCTGTTTATCATCATAGTTACTTGATGTCAGAAGATGACCAAAGATCAAAGTAGGGACAAATACATTGTGGTCTTTATGCATGACGATTGGGATCCCTTTGCCATCATTCCAAACACTAATGATGTTCTTTTCACTAAAAGTATTTTAACGGATAACTATGTAATAATGTAATAATAACTAGAAATATTGACATGTATTGTGCACATTATTGTCCTACAACTTCAACAAATAATGATTGACTCTGGACCAACTTAGTTTTTAACTCGGAGATTGCGTAAGCAATCGTAGAGTTGTTGGGAGGGGACAGGCTGTCACTCGCTCACTTTCCTGTAAACTTCCTGTTACGTTTTCTGTAAACTTCCGGTTAATTTTTGGTTACTATAGTAACTTCTGCATATTTGCATTTTGATTCTCTACTGGTTTCCCTGTGCTACATCTGATTTATTTTTTGGCAAATAAAGAAATCAAAGAAATTTGGGTCCATCTGGGACTTGAACCTGGGCCCGCTGGATCGGAAATCAAAGGCACTACCGATTAGGCCACGCGTGCTAATGTTACACAACATCGGCTAGACTTGTCTTTTAAGTGATAGGCGCTCGCCCCTGCTTGTCTAGAATCGAAGTTAAATTAATAAGATTTTAACGAAAAAAATCTGCATTCAAATATCGTTTACTTAAAATTCTATTTGTAAAGTAAATCTAATTTGATTCGTTGCATTGTTCAGTCACAAAGGAAGCATGAGGAAGACTCGCCGGTCCGACGATTATAAAATTCGTCTCGAAAATCATTTTACGTGTGTTTTATTTATCCACGTTCGCTAGCGTACTACTACATTGTAGTATTTGATATATAGTTCATTGTGTGGTTAGATATCGATAATACTATTTAGAGCCGCTACGGAAACTGGCAAACAATAAAAACAATGGTGCCGTATCACGTATGGTTGGTCGGGGTTTCAATTGAACCAACTTCCAGTTAATTCACCGTTACGGAGTAGGCATTCTTAAAAGAATTGCTGGAAAAAGTAATTAATAATAAAAAAAATAATAGTAAAGAACAAAAAAAAAAGTACATGATATCTCTTGGGAATCGAACCGGGATCTCTTTATTAGTACGCCTATGTTTTAACCACTGAGCCACAATGGCAAACTTCATACGAGCGTGGCTAAGACTGGGATTTATTTCGCCGTCACTCGCCATGCTTATCCAMAACCGAAGTTAAAATAATAGGATAAATCGTTTACTTAAAATTCTAATTGTGAAGTAATTATGATTTGATTCATCGTACATGTATCGTTCTGTATCAATCTTCGAGTTATGCTGCCATTGGCTGCTTGATTTATATTCTGCTTTTAATGTGATTTGATAAAGTACTTACGGATTAATGTCTATCTTGATAGTGCTCATGTTGGCGTCCCTTTGT